ACTACTGCTGCGGCTACTACTACGACGACGACGACGACTACTACTACTTCCACTAGTACTACTGCTGCTGTTGCTGTTGCTGCTACTGCTACTCCTACTACTTCTACCGCTACTGCTACTGCTTCTACTGCTGCTGCTGCTACCAACACTCCTACTGCTGCTGCCACAGCTATTGCCAAAGCCCGTTAAGCCAACAAAAGCCCTACAACACCCGTATGAAACCCCAAGAGAACTCTTGATGGACCCAGGCAAGGATGGCACTGCGAGGATATCCTTCGACAGGCCTTTGGTAATTTGGGCGTATTGTTTGTGCACCTTAGGGCCTGGAGGCTTCGTTTACGATTCTGTTCAAGATTCGAGAAGGGTTCTATATACGGGGTTCTGTAAGGGTTTCAGAAGGGTTCTACTTGAGCTCTGGAGGTTGTCTAGAGGGCTTTGCTATAGTGTTCACGATGTCTGATTCACCGTAGCTGCATCATTCAACACCCTTTCCGTCTTCTGCCGCAGGCCCCAGACTTCAATCCGAAACTGCAGTCGTTGCGAATGTCCGATGGGAGCTGATTTAGTTTTTTGAAGGGTTTTATGGGCTTGAGGGTTTAGGCTTTTGGGCTTAGGGTTTTAGGATGCTTCAGGTTTGTCGTCGCACTAATCGTCACACACCAGACCAGACCTGACCGGTCATGGGGAAGCCTAGCCTGCCACATGCGAGTGTGTAACTTTAGGATTCCCAAAATTAAGGGTTACTCTAAGGGTTCCTTTAAAGGTTCCTTTCTGGGGGGTTCCTTTAAAGATTACTGTAAGGGTTCCTTCAAAGTTGAGGGTTTAAGGACACTTCATTTTCTTTTACCACCTCCGCGAAGGCTTCGGCCCTAGCATTTATCGTGTGTCGCCCCTCCCGTGGTCTCGCAAAGTGGGACTCATCGTCTCCTATAGATTTTTCGAGAAATCCATGATTCCAATGACCCACAAAGCGGACAAAACAAGAACCCTGAAGAACCCTAAACCCTCAACCCTAAACCCTAAACCCTAAACCCTAAACCCTAAACCCTAAACCCTAACTTCTTGAAGAATGAGCACCTTCATCCCCGAAGTTTCCCTTGCATCAACTTCAACACCCTGCTCTACTTCTTGAGGCCCTGCAGCAAAAGCCTCCCTAAACCCCTCAACCCCTAAACCCCTCAACCCCGAAACCCCCAAACCCTTGAACCCCAAACCCCCAAACCCTTCAACCCCTAAACCCCAACCCCCTAAACCCTAAACCCTAAACCCCCTAAACCCTAAACCCTAACTGACAGACCGAACAAGAACAGCCCCGGAGCCCTACCCAGAGCCGTGCAGCCACAGGAGCCAAGAAGCCTGAGATAGTCATAGCAGCACTAATGACAACATAGTCATCATCACACTTAGCAGTAACAGCACGAGCAGCTAGACCAACAGTAGCAACAGAATAACCCGTACTAGCAGCCTAACTTTAGCTCAATAACAGCTTAAATTCAGAAGAAACGTCTATCAAGAACAAGAGTAAAATGCAGGCCCCAGGATGCAAAGAAGGCCGTCGCAACTTTCGACCACGGTGAGTTGAATGGAGCCGACCTCAGGGAAGCTGGGGCGGTTGTGTGTGGTCCGCCCCCAAAGCCCTGAATTGGTTTCCAGGTTAAAGTTAGATGGGTTTAGGGTTAGGGTTAACATTAGGAATTTGATTCTAATTGGTGCCATTTCTTTGGGAGGTACCAATCATTCTGAGGATTACGCCCCAGAGGCCCCAGAGCTTGAATCCGGAAGACTAGGACTGGCAGAGGCTTCGGGTTTAGGTCAACCCTAAACCGTTGCCTAAACCCCAAGCCCTCAACCCTAAACCCTAAACCCCAAACCCTAAACAAAAAACCCCAAACCCTAAACCCCAAGCCAGTCTGGCCTTCTGGGGCCCTGTTCCTTCCCCTGTTCAGCGGTCCTCGGGCTGTAGGGTCCCGTCATAGATCAGATTAGGGTTTGGGGTTTTAGGGTTTGGGGTTTGGGATTTAGGGTTTAGGGTTTAGGGTTTGGGGTTTGGGGTTTAGGGTTTAGGGTCTAGGGTTTCGGGTTTGGGGTCTAGGAGATTGGGGCTGGAGGTTGGGAACTGATTTCAGGCGTTTGCGCGGGCGTCAGTCACGCAAAAGTTTCCGGAAAATGCCGCGACTGTTGGATGCTCGAAGCGCTGGCTCAGGAAGCATTATCAGCGTCCGCGTCCTGAACTGAAGCAAAAGTGTGATTGCACCGCGGTGGTGCGTTTGGATAGCAAATACCATGGCAGCTTCCCTCCACCGGAAAAGCATTCACGAGCCCTTTGGCAACTACCTTATGTCGATGTCCGTACCAAAGAGTCCTACTTCTACCCAAAGAGGGTCCCAACTTCGGGCCACTTCATTTCGGGTATGTGCAAGTTTAGACAGCTGTGGCAGCTTTGGGAAGCGCCAGGTGGATGAAGTACTACAGGGGCGTTCACAGCTAGACTGGGGTTTTACGGTAGGTATATTAGGGACGATACGGGGATACTGTTGCGACCCAGTCTTCGAGCCCAAGCACAGCGTGTCTGTCACTTTACTAAAGCACTATTATGGTATATCATCGTATGTTATGGTACATTGTAGCATATTACAGATAGGTTATAGAGTATTATAGCACATTACCCATTGTTCCGACCCCCTGTGGTAGCGTCAGCAGCACACGCCCTGGCTGACTGGAGCTTAGGGCAGCTTGAGCTTTGCCCTGCGTGCCTCGAAAAAGCTTTGTGCGCAGCCAAGGGATGCAGGGGTTGCCATCAGAGCTCTATCAGGAAGTGCAGGGTATCATATCGGTAAGTTGAGGGCACTATATCTTTATGGGCTATAATAAGGGTTCGGTTCGAGTAGAAGTATAAGGGTACAAGGAGTACTATAAGGGTAATTATTTGAGCGGCGTGCGGGGTCTTGGGTTTGGGGTTTCAAGTTGTTGTGCAGAAGCCACGAACGTGCTTGACCCTGGCGCAGCAGGCTCCCCCGAAGCCTGGCACGGAGCAGTGACTCGTAGCACGAGGCTGACTGCATCGACCCGAGACATCCCGAGACCACGAAGGATCTGATCTGGCAAAGCCAGAGTGGCCGTCGAAAAGTGTCGCCTCGCATCTGCCCCTGCGGGCCCTGTTCAGGCTCCCCGCGGGCCCTTCCCTACAGGGCTTTCTTTTTTTGGCATGTCTTCGGATTATTTTTTTCCCTGGCTTGCTTGCAACTTTTTCTTGAATTGTTTTGGTAGGAGTCCAATCCTGGGGCGTGTGTGTGTTTTTTGATATTTCAGGGATTCGTAGGACAAGCTAGAAGCAAACGACCTAATGCTTGCATGCTACACCACCCTCCACTGCAGAATGATACACTGCAACTGCAGGATACCAATACAACTACATTACGACACGATGCAGCGTTGGTATAACCACACATTTCGAACAAACACATTGAATAACCATGTATGGCAATACGAACTGTCAGAAGGCGCTGGCTCAAGGCTGGTGCTGCCTGTGGAACTTCTTCGCAGGCCATGTTTCGAAACCGTACCTGATATTGGCCTCTTGTCTGCAGGGTTCTGCAGGGTTTAAGGCTCGGTTTAAGGTTTCAGACGGCCCCCTCAAGATCTTCAAGAGTTTGTAGGGTTAGCTGACAGGCGGTTGGGGTCAGGGTCTCAGGGCTCGTGGATAAGGTTACTTCAGCCTTCAGAGCTCGCATAAGGACACCGCAGAAGTCAGACCTGGATTCCCGAAGAGGCTCAAAGTCCTCTTGTTTCGAAGGGTTGTCTTGCACCGGGAGCCTGACTGGGGATAGCTGCGAGGACAAGCGAGGTGTATAGTCTCGGAGAGATGAGTTTGTTTGGTCGGAACATAACTTGTATCTTGGCCAAGACGGGCCTGATGAGCTGGTGTGTCTGGAAGGTTTATGTGGTTTCACAGCGTGTAATGTGTGCATTGGTTGCGGGCTGATTGGCTTGACCCCGCAACTCCAGTTTACCAAAGCGAAACCCCGAGAATCTTATGTCACTTTCCAGTTTTGAAGCTAAACTTTAAACAGCTAAACGCTAAACCCGAAACTCTCGATGTGCCGGAGAGTTGGAGTTCAGAAAGAAAGACTTCTTGGCTGATCCACGGATGGATGCGACATAGGGGCCTGAACGAATTAGATACCGATAATTATACAATGATTCTCTACTGCACCCCCCAAAAAACTCGTCTAACCAAGCAGGCCCCTACTTCAGGAATTTGGTTTCGCGTTGGTTTGCTTTAGGGACGTGCAGCCCCAAGGCTGCAGGTTCCGACATGCGTCTTTTGTTAAGGGGGTTTGGGGTTTAGGGTTTAGGGTTCAGGGTTTAGGGAGTTGCAAAAGGGTTCAGGTTTTAGGGTTGAGGGTTTGGGGTTTAGAGTTTAGGCGGTGATAGCAACAGTAGGAATCATGCTGCTAGTGTGCTCAGGGCAGATCACAAAGCAAGAGCCAGCAAAGGCGTATGCCAATAATTAGTTAACAACTCAGACAACCTGCAAACCGCAGTCCAAACTTACGGCAGTGGAAATGGGGGTTTCCGAAAATAGGGGACCTTAATATAGCACCCTAAATCGTAGGATCCTTATTCTAAGGACCCCAAAATAAGGTTCCCCGTATTTTCGCAAACTCCCAAATAGAGTGAGGGACCCACAGATTGAACGCCACTTTGTAGAAGCGAGTTCATGAAGCGAGGCGAAAACAAGAAGGTGCGTACATACAACACACACAGCCCTTTCTACGTACATACCTGCATGCCTTTTCTACCTACCTACCTACCTACCTACCTACCTGCCTACCTACCTGCCCGTAAACCCTGAACCCTAAACCCTAAACCCTAAACCCTAAACCCTAAACCCTAAACCCTAAACCCTAAACCCTAAACCCTACACACCTACCCACCTGCCTACCTACCTGCCTCTCCTAATCCCTGGGGCAGCCTCCAGGCCGGCCGATGCAGATCAGATGATCAGAGCCCTGCTCGTCGTCTTCTGGGCCACGTCTTCAGCGCAGGCGCCGGGTGTAGGGTTTAGGGGTTTTCAGGGGTGTGGGTTCAGGGGTTTAGGGGTTTTGGGGGTTTGGGGGTTTGGGGTGGAGGGGTTTGGGGACTTCAGTGCAGTGCACGTATCCACCGAGTCGGTTTTCATCGAGCCCGTCGCAGACAAACCGTGAACCCCATTCTTAAGCCGGAGCCTCGGAGCTTTAGTGTTTACGTTGTTTTTGTAGTAGTCGGAGTGGTAGTCGTCGTCGTAGTAGTAGCAGCAGGTAGTACCAGTTCCTTACTTCCATTTTTTCATGTCATGATTCCATCACTAAACCCTAAACCCTAAACCGGCTCCACGCTTCTTATTGCAGGTGCTTGATTGCGAGCCCTCAGAATGTGCCGGACCGAGTCGACCCACGCTGACCATCATGTTTAGGGCTTAGGGTTCGTGGTTCCGCGTTCAGGTTAAATGCTGCTCATTCTTGTGTCGTCGAGGGTATGGGGTCCATATCCATGTTATGAAAATCGCTCGACATAGGCGTCTTTATCGGTATTTCCTTTGTGCGCGAGATCCGACATTGAAAGTACAGGGTCCCCAGGACAAAGCCTAGAATAGAGGAACGGTGGGATAGGGTCTGCTGCATCAAGATAGCGGTAAGCCCGGAAGCACTCCCACATTGCCGGTGTCAGCAGGCGAAACCGTCGTACCTCGTTCTGGCAATCCGAGCTGAGAGAGCTCGACTCCCCTTTTAGGTTTTAGGGTTTGGTTTGGGTTTAGGGTTTAGGGGTTAGGGGTTAGGGTTTAGGGTTTAGGGTTTAGGGTTTAGGGTTTAGGGTTTAGGGTTTAGGGTTGATATTTATGCCACTGTGCTATGCCGACTCATAAGGCCCCCAACCTCTGGCATTTTTTACCGTAAACCTAAGCCCGGTGAAGCCTTGCCTGCCTTGGCGAGGGTGAGAGTGGCGGGAGAGTTCGCTAATGGTCCTTTCAGTTAGGCTCTAGTTTGTGGTGAAGCTTACAGACCTCTTAAGCCCCAAACCCAGAACCACCGCCTTTGCAAAGCCCTTGCCTCTGAAGGTCCGACCACGTTGCTGCAGGGTCGGCTGGATCTGGTGGCCGAGAGAAGGATGCGCTTAAGGGTTCGGTTGTATCGTCGTATATACTATAAGACGATCTAGTAGTCTGTACTGGTGCATTTTCTAGTTGACGCTACCTCGGGTTTTGTACCATACGCTATTTTCTCGTGGTGGCCGTTTGTATAGCCAATCCGCAAGCCGCCCACAGCTCTATACTTCAAGCCGTCGGTCGTCCTTAGTCCCACCCCCCGAGGTATCAGCAACAGTGTATTTTTCCTACATCCTAGTACAGCATTGTTATATTATAGTATATTGTGTATATTTTCGTTTGCAAAAGTATATGGTCACCTGTGGGTTCCGGGTGTAAGGTCTCTGTGTCAGGGCAGGGTGTCGGGCTTCTGGCTTAAGCCGGGCTCCTTTGTTCAGGGGTTTGGCTTGTGCCGGAGTTGATGTAGTTAGACTGTTCAGATTTGCGCGAGAAGACACGTGGGTTCCTTGACAAGAGCCGCCCAAGAGTGCTCTGCTAGAGTAACTCTAAGTTCGTAAACCCCAAACCCCAAAAGGGACCCTGACTAACACTTCTAAACCTTGCACTCTTCTGTGTGGACAGCCGGCAATCCCAAGACCCAGGAGCAAGCAAAGCCGCGAGCTGCTTTGCGCCTGGGCTTGGTGCTGTGATGTTGTCGGACATGTTTTGCAAAATACAGGGTAGCATAGTAGTATATTACAGTACATTATGTCATATGATAGTATAGTATAGTATATTACAGTTTTTTGTGTTATATCATAGTATATTGTAGCATATCATGGCATGTCATGGTATATTGTCGTACATTATAATCGATTGTAGTATGGTGTAGCATGTTGTAGCATTTTGAAGGATATTATGGTATATTTTGGTATATTTCCATATACGCTAAGTATATGTTACGGCACTCCATGGGTTCACGAGGGCTTCGTCGTCGTCGTCGCGATCTGCTGCCTTGTGCTATCATCGTTTCAGGTGTTTCCCTTTAGCCACAGGTTTTAGGGTTTAGGGTTTGGGGTTTAGGAGGCCCAAACCCCAAAGCCTTGAGCCTTGCTGCCGCTTCAGAGCAGGTACAAGCTCTGACTGCACCCCGGCCGTCTTCATTGTGAGCTCCGGGAGAACCGGCTCTACAAGCATACTGCACATGTTGAACCTCATCCCGGGGCTGCTTGGCAAGAAAGAACGTGGAATGTTCCTGATCGAAGACCCGTATGAACCCAAGTTGAGGGTTGAAGATGTTCTTTCAAGCGAGCTTGCAGTTAAGGTACGACATCAAAGGCGGCCCGGCAGCTTTTGAAAGCCCGTCAACCCCTAAACCCGAGGCCCTTCAGAATCCTCGCACGGCGCAGGTGGGAACATGATGCTGTGGCCCGACGTCTACGACATGAACAAGGCCCGAAGGTGTAGAGTTTGGCAGGAGTAGCTGCAGCTGGTAGGGGTTGAGGTCGAGGGCCGTTTATCTCAGAATGCCCGATGCGCGCTCACTGCCGGGCCCCTGCTTCGTTGTATATAGAAAGGACTTGGATGCTGGACTGTCGCATATAGGGTTTTGGGTCTAGGGTGCTAAGTGTCGGGACCCCCTTACTCGAAGGGGTTGAAGGGGCGACCTGAGGGCGAAGGTTGTTTTTCCTTGCAAGGAGGTCTTTCCCGTGGCCAGCGGTCGTCGGGCTCACAGGGTTTAGGGTTTGGGGCTTGGTGGGTTGAGTGTTTACTTTGTTTTTCGTTCTGTCTTGGCTGCAGGTGCGGGAGGCGGATTTCAAAATCTATCAGCACAGCGGCCTCTATGCATGGCACCATGCGAACGGACGGACGCTGGCATAAATTTAAATCAGACGAGGCTGTGGGGTACCATTTCCTTGTTCTTGTGCCACCGACCTACTACAGTATGCCATCGTACTGTCGTAGCTCGTAGCACTGCTCGTGAGCCAACCCCCCTTCCAAATCAGGAACGAGACGGAGCTCATGTGCAGCATGAAGATGATGCTTCTAGGCGAGCTGAATCCCAGCGAGCACGCCCGTGTCATTGGCTACAAGGCTGGCTGGGTTTAGCCTGCCACGCTTAGTTTCAGGATTTAGGCTTTGGGCTTTGTGTGGGAGCATCATATGGACTCTTTTTGGGTCACTGGCACATTTTTTAGAACAGAGCCAGATGCTTCGGAATAGGATGGACGCCTCGGCTGTTGAAGCTGGCAGGCCATCAAGTGGCGTGCAAACCTCAGGATGTCTGCAATGTGGGACGTAGCATTGAGCCGTTGTGTGTGTTGTGGTGGCAAACAGTCTCAGGCGATTGTGCAAGTCCTGATGCGAAAGAATGGAAACTCCGGTACTAGATCAGCCGTTCACCAAGGTTTCGAGGAGGACCTGAAGGCACCAGGGGGGTTCCGGCTGCAGGGTTTAAGGGTCCATGTACCCTATACTTTGGCCCCAAAGTACCTATATAGGGACTACTTTAAGGCATCAAGGTCTGCTAGGCGCCCAGGATTTTCTTCTTTGAGCTCAAGCTTCAGTGCGCAGGGGACACGTTCGGATCGGAGCTGCCCTTGCGACTTCCAGCGGGCACTCCGGCTAAAGCCTAAGAGAATATTACACTATGTTGTATCATTTGATAGTGTATATTAAATTATTATGGTATATGTTGGTCTACTATAGTTTATTATTATGGTATATGATACTCAAGCCCCCATATTGTTGGTGCAACTTCTAAACCCGAGTATCGTCTCTTCGGCAACAGCTCGAAGAACCCGCAACCCAGCTCGCCCCAGCAGCGTCACGATAGCTTTTCGGCCCACAAAGGTGTTCCTCTAGACTGTCCTTTCAGCAGTTCCGTGGCACATTCTATAAAGCGATTGTCGCTAAGCTTGGTCGAGCTCGAGCAGTCCAAGGCCTTGCGACAGAAGACAGAGAACCCGATCCTAAACCCTAAACCCTTTACACCCTAAACCCTTAAAGCTTAAGCCCTAAACCCTTCAGCCCTAAAACCTCAACCCCTAAACCCTAAACCCAGAGGACTTGGAGTTGCTGATGGAGGCGCCTTGAATCTGCGCTGGGGGCTTTAAGGATTTTGGCCTTGTCATTCTTTCCTCTGGCCATCATTGTTCTGTTGGTTTGGGGTTCGGAATATGGTTCTTCCAGCTGGTGCCTCTTGCTCAACAACGGTCGAGGATTCAAGTATTCAGGGTGAAGGAGCTCGATCCCGCACTTAGCCTTCGATCGGCAGCTAGTGTTGTTGTCATGGTCGTGTTCACCGTGGTCGTTGTAATCGTTTATGACAGTTTTCAGTTGCAGATGAACTGGGTTCGGTAAATGAATTTGGTGGGCGGACTTCCTCCAGATGTATATAATTGTGGGGTATGAAGAATCCCGAAAGCAGACAGACTTCATCCCTTTTAATCCACGGCACAAACTGTGCATTCCCGACCAGAGTCAAAAAAAACGCACCCAACAGTTCAAGCTCTCAACCTTCGCCTTACCAAAACTACCAGGCTCATGTGCACACCGTAAAGCAACCCTTAAACATCCGCATAAGCGACGGGTGCACAGGCCTCAGACTTTTCCGAACCCGTATCAATCCCTATGCAATCCTAGATCCCCCCAAAAACCCTAAACTAACCTCAGCAGCTAGAAACCCCTAACAACTTCTATGCAGCCCTGTATCCCTAAACCCTACACCCCAATCCCTAAATCACTAAATCCCTAAACCCTAAACCCGAAGCCCTCAACACTATGTTCAACACGGACTAGGTGCTGCGATTCCGAGTTGGAAACTTTGGCTGAAGCCTGCAACAGGACTTGATAGCCTAATTGGTCTGCCTTGAGCTGAGGTATGCCTTGCCTGCACAGTCACAGACCAGACATTACCCTGCAATGCGGGCTCGTCGTGGCTAAGTAGGCGGCAAAAAAACCCTCAACCCTAAACCTCACCACCCCCGGTGTACCCCGCTGTTTTCAGGCCTTCCCTTGCGCCAAGGCTGGGTCTGTGGTGGGATCGTCTTGGGGGCTCTATAAGAAGGGTCGTATCAGGGTATCATGAAGGGTTCTATAAAGGGGTTCTGTAAGGGAACCAGAAAGTTACTAGGTGGGCGCTATGAGGGTTTAGCGCTTACAGTAAGGTTTAGGGCAGGGCTGTGTGAAATCATGCAGTGCTGCTTCCCAGCTGATCAACAGAGTCTGGGTTCAAAAAGGTTTGAGGCAAAAAGCTCGGCTTTTTGTTAGGCTTGGTCTAGCCCCTAAACCCTAAACCCTAAACCGCCTCAGCTTGGCATGGCGTAGTTGAAGGTTTGCTTAGAGTGCTCCTTGGGGTCTCTAGGGTTTCGGTGGCTGTCTGCGTCTCAAAGCATCTCCGGGGGGCTGAAGGGATAATGTAAAGGAAACTGCAGGTGGGGAGTTTAGGGTATATAGGCCTTCTATGAGGCTCCTATGAGGTATATAGACCTTCTATAAGGCTCCTATAACGGTAGCTACCCACCTGAAAATGTCCTTGAGCAATGGGTTCTCTAAGCCAGGAGCTGCCTTTCGAGCCCGGAAAGTCGTAACACAGGGGAAAGAAGGGTTCAGGGTTTAGATCTGGGATTTATTTTGGGTTCCGGCCAGAGGGCCGAACGAAACCCCAAGTAACTTCTGATCCATCGAGTACGAGGGGCAAAAAAGTAACCTCTGATTTTTTTGTTAGACAAACTCGCAGGTGATCTTGAGCAAGAGAAGGAACATCGATGATCAGCTTCTGTCCCAAGGAGAAGTGCTGCTCGGAAGCAGGCATCAAAAAGACCCGAAGTCCTAAATCTGAAAAATGCGCTGAAGCTCGCTCGGCCTCCTTGTCTGTTTCTGGGACGGTAGCATTGGGGCCTATAGACTTCGAGGCTGCCCCTGACACTTTTTGTGAAGACCCGCATCGCCCGCTGCACTTCCACTGTCTCCTCCTTGTTCGGGCGTTAAACCCAAACCTCATGAGAAAACAACAATTTCAGTCGCCCCACTAAACCCCAAGCCCGAATCTCCCTGAACCCTAAACCCTAAAAGTTTCACCGCAGCCGACTTAAGACCACAAGCCTCGCCTGCATTGTCCGAGTGTGAGAGCCGAAACCCTAAAAAGAGCACTTCGAGGAGCAGTCTCCAGAAATCCCAGGTTTGGAAGCATGGACTACTATGCCACGGAGCACGCGAACAAGGCATCGTCGGTGTCGTTATGTGGGACTTTCCGAAAATTGGGGGGGG